AGAATTGGTACATTTATAACATTAGCTAAAACTTACATGCCATTCTCAGTAAAAATTACGACCGATATCTTTAGACAATTTAGCACCTACTACAAGACTACTCAAATCAGCTCTTTTATATTCCTCAGTCATCGATAAACAATCTTTTGGACTGTACTCAACGTAATTACACTAAATATACAGATTCGAAAATGTTACTTAAGTAATAGTTTCTTTCGAATATCAGTTTCCACTTTCCAATCAACCAAATGAGATTCAAAGAAAATACATCGATTCCAACAAACCTAATAAAATCTCTATTGAAATGTAGTTTTTCCTGAATTCACATTACAAGCTCTTAACTTTCTGCAACTACAATTGCACTCGATGAGACACCAGATGGGTGAGCTTCTGGCAGTAAGCTTCTAGCACTACAAAAACATGCCACATTCACACGAAATGGTAGAATTGAAACAACCAAATTCCCATTTGAGAATTTGATTGCATAAGTAAGAATTTCCAGTGTCGTATTTTTATTTTTTTTCCAAATTACTCAAAACTACATTCAAAAACCATTAAACCTCAATTAGCACCATAATAACAAAAGCCTTTAGCACAGCTACAGATCCACAAAACATGAACTTTTCTCTCAAAAGTCAAACCCATAATCTAAAATAAAAACCACTCCTTAATGCAACATTTATCATTAATGTTCAATTCATTCGCCCCAATTCACTAATCCAATTAACTAAGAAACAATATCTTTCAGCTTAAACTAAATATATGAATGCAAAATTTACCAGAAGAGAAGGACCGAAACTGATTAGATGACCAAAAGTTGTAATTTTTATTATAGGGAGAAAAATTATTCAGATAGCGCAAGAGTCCCAGGCTCGAACAAGAAATACTATAATCTTGGAAACAGAGGTATTGTCTGAATACGAGGCTTAAATATGTTCATCGTAGGTGGGTTCTGCCTTTGGCATTTTGGGGTAGTTCCAGATTAATTACTATAGTAAAAAAATATTCATATTCTATTTGTCAATTATGGGATTTCGCGAGGTTCTTTTAATTATGTGTTCTTGATTCATTCAATCTTGTCAAGAGTAGGTTGGTGTTTGAATTGCGGATTGGAGAGGGTGGGGGCTGCTCTGAGGCTAGGTGTGGTGGCTGCTTACTCCTCAGAAGAACTAAACGTGGCAGAAATGTGAGTTAAAAAGGGAGTATTTTTCTGTTGGTAGATATTAAAATCAAATTTTTAGTACATTTTGATAGAAATTGTAAAAAAATATTTGGTTGAAAAATTGTGAGTTTCATAAAATGTGTGATTAAATAAATTGTTACTTTAACTTGAATTAAAATTTTAATTATAATTTCCACCAAACATGAGCTTAGCGAAAGTTCATGGATAATTGGAGGTATTATGGTCTTTAATTTTGACCTGGTTGAAGGATGAATGGCAACGACAGGGGATGGGGATGGGGATGGGGATGGGGATGGGGATGGGAATGGGGTGGCGCTCTCCTTGTCCACGGTTTTATTGGAGATAAAAATATTCTCATTTTCCGTTTCGTTTCTCGTTTACTTATTTGAATATTTTCTAAAAGAGTTTATTTAGCTATGATTAAAATTTAAAAAATAAAAAAAAAACTAAAATTTAGGACGATTTTGTCCATTGTGATGGGGCACACACACGAGGAGGGACGGGTATTTTACCGCTTTAAATTGCTCTCCCTAGATTTTCAATTTTCAATTAATTTATCATTTTAATCATAACAGTGATATATCTCTATTTTTTAACAGTTTGTTTGATTGATATCACGACACTGTCAAAGGTTGTTAGACATTGTAATTCTTGACCACAAGTAGTTGCAATCCACGTTTATTCTTTCCTCAACCGCAACCTTTATCGATGGAGTTGAGTTGAGCTTCGCAACATCTAATGACATAAATTTTTCTTTTAAAACTGGAAATTATTCATAAAGATTTATCCTTTTTTTATCATCCCTTTGATGTCTAATGGTGTCAATTTTATATATTTTCCTCTCACATGTCCAGTGATTTTGAATCAAGTATTGTTTACTTTCATTCGAGGTTTAAACTAGCATTTCTATTAAGAGGTAAATGAAACTCCCCAGTGGACAAGGTGCATAGATCACCCAACCATTAGAAGGTGTTTGGGAACGAATTTAAGCCATAATAAACAATTTGGCACATGCAAAATTCTTCGAGGTTTGGAATATTAGAGCGACCTAATACAAAGTATACCCGTGAATCCAACTCTTGGCCGCCATGCCACCTCTATTCCTCTTTCATTGTGCCATCGACAACTACCCACCACCACCATTTTCCCGACTCCAAGCCTTCACACCACCCACGTCCCTTCTTCATGTCTCTTCATTTCATCTTTCGACCCCTAGCCTGCACATCGATGAAAACAGCTCATGAACAATATCAATAATCCCCATGGATTGGACGGATGACTTGAATATAATTTGAGATCTATCACATCAAAAGTTGGGATGAAGTGAAAGTGTAACATATTGCTTTGTAATCAGTAAAAATCAAAAGCTTACTCAATTCTCCAGAATCCAGGACATCTGCTATCTGACCAAATGTCACACAGGGTAAAAACCTGTCATAATGGCTGCAAAAACAACTAGACAAAGTTAGATCAATGCCACATTGTCTCAAAACTTGAGTAATGGGAGACTATATTCATATTTTCGTCATAGACACATGCTCACTTTTTATAAATGGGTGGACAATTTGATTGGCTCCATATTGAACCATTGAATTTAAAAGTTTAAGCTAGATGGACTTCCTGCTGAGGTCAGCTGCCCATCTGAAAGTTCTGAGGATTCGAGGTCACTGGTTCAGTGCTCCCGGGTCTTGCGACCAATGGAGGCTGTTCTGCTTGAGAGTTTGGAGGATAAGACTTAAGAGGTCACTGGTTTGACTACATTTGGAGTTTCCACTTCCTCATTGGCTTGGATTTTACCAATATTATCGCTAGTGATGATTAAACTGAATGAAGATGATGCTCAAGAAAAATCCCACTTTGTTTTGATAGAGTTTGCACAGGAAATTAAATATATGAAAATCAATCAGACTTTTCAAATTCATCAAAGAAGACTCCCAAATTTTCTTTCTTGCTGAAAATTGGACAAAATAAGTGGGATCCATGCCTTGAATATCAATTTATCACTCAATGTATTTTGCATACAAGCCAATGCATTCCAAGCTCCATTTAGCCCCTATTTTGTGCAACTAAAAATTCGGTTTTTAGTAAATTGTGAAGGTTCGGATGTAGGATACCTATCCAGGAGATGGAATCATCGAAGACCTAATCTTTTTGAAATGTTAATGAAATGTGTGGTAGAAAAGTTGATAGAGTTGTGGGTCCAGTAAAAAAATGTATGGTTAAAAATATTTGAAGAAAAAATGATCGTTTTTGAAAATGAGGGTCAAAGAGAGGCTTAAATGAAAACTGCTAATAACTGGTTCTATAATTATTCAATATGCCTTGGTTTTTGCCGAATCTTTTCAATCACCTTAGAAAATGAAGTTGATTTCTGTCTTGGCGTGATGAATAGTGGTGCCTATACCAGCAGCCTGATCTATTTCTCTAGTGTGATCTTATCCCTAATGACATTTTACCAATAAAATAATGGGGAATTTACATAAATGTCACTAAATTTAAAAATGCACAAAAAAATTTGTCTTGCACAATTTTTTTCCAAAAATGTCACTTTTTCTCCACAAAATGTCCATCTTACCCTTTGAGACCTTTTTTAGGAGCAATAAATGCTTGATTTGAATGCAATTAATGGTGTGATGTGAACATTTATTTTTCTTTATTGTTAACATTGAAGAAATGAATATTATATTATATAATATGAATTTTTGATTAAAAAATGGTGGAATCTATACAAAGTACACACACATGTAAGACTTGAAATAGCTTCTTCTTCTTCATCTCTCTTCCGTCATCAACAAGGCAAAAAGGAAAGCTATTAATCAATCTCAAAGGTGAGGTAGTAGGAAAGAAATATTTTCATGACATACTTGACTACTTTAAATGTTCAATAGAACATTCTCATAATTAATTGTCCATTTTTAATCTCTTATTCATTGATGTGTTTAATTTTTGGTATATTTTAGAAAGGGAAAAAATATCAATATTCTCTACAAAATCTAAAGAATTCCATATTTAATGAAGTATTGAGTTATACTTTCTTTATATATGTGGGAAGATCAGTTGATGTTGTAGTTGAGAATTGATTATCACCATTAATATTTTGTAATAAATTCTTCAAACAGTCAAACACATGATTTTTAACTTCCTCGAAATTTATGATAGTTCAACTGTTGAGTAGTTTCGTTGAAACCGTCGGGTTAAACATTTTAACTGTCGAACTCGATATTTAGTAACTGTCGGGATGGACAGAGAATTCAATTGTCGATTTTGACACCCGAAAAGCTCTCTTTTTGGTACTACGTGGATCAAAGTATTCTAATACACCAATTTGATGGTATTAAATCCTTTGACATATGAATGTGCAAAATTCTCACTTTTGTAGTCCCAACATTTCAGGTATAGCTCATAATTTGAGATCCATCATGTCGTATGGGGAGAGCTTTGCTCACGTGGATGACGAATGAAAGTGGAGAGTGGACAAAACGACTTCCATATGCGATTTTCAATCCCCAGCCAAATGAATTGTAAATTGCAACGTTGTAATTAGTTCACCAAATTATGCACATGATGAACCCCATTTGTTAACATCAACACAAATAACGGCGTTTGCGTACACATTATCCGCTTACATTAATCAGAATAAGCATAAGTAAAAAATTTTGTCAAAATATCTTTGACAACGTACAATTAGCCAATCATACTCTACGGTCGTTCAATATACATTGAGGGAGGATGCGAAATCACTTCCTTGTTTTGTCCATTTAAAAATGTAATTTTCAATATCCACAAAATTTATGATAATTTGGAACATCGTAATCCATGGAGTCAATTCAGCTCATGATAAACACAATTTCATAACATCCGCTGAACATGGTGTAAAATATAGATCTACAGCCCAATGGTTAATTTGTCGTTCCCGACAGATAGAAATCTGTAATTCTCGACAGTTCGATCGGACTGAATTACACAAAATACACTACCCGAATTACAGCTTAGGGACATGTTCATGAAGACATTTTGGTTCTGTGTTAATCAAATTTATCCCTACAAAAGACTAGACTATACACTACTTATCCAAATGCTCCTTGACCACCAAAAATTTCCATATTTCCATGCAAATTCTCGTTGTTGGTTGGGTCTTTGTTGTACCCACGACGACGACCATGATCATATCTTCGTCCACTACGGCCTCCTCCTATAGAGTCATAGTTTGCCTCTCTGACTGCTCAAACGAACAAACACGAAATATAAGTAGTAAAAAAGATGAGTTGAAAATAAGAAATATTTGGAGCTAAAATTGTTTCGAGGGAACAAAACATTACCCAAAAGAGAAATATATGAAATATACATACTTTATGTTATTATGAATGTCCAATTTTTGTACAACTTTACCATCAATTTGTGTAAAAGTAATCCCTTGTCTTCGTTTTTTAGTGTACCTAGGAAATCCCACGAGCCATCAATCCATTACGTTAAAAGAAACTGCAGATCAATTTCTTATATGGCTATACATTTATTAGATATAATCAAAATGAGAAAAAAAAATTGATGGTAAAGGCAACAAGAATAGAGCGTACAGCCAAGTAATGTCTATTGGCTATGGTTGCTCTCTCTTTTATTCTTTTCTTTCTTTGCTGTCGGCACTGTTGCTGAGGTGCCCTGAGCCTCACCTTCTGTAAAGATTGTAGTCAAAAGGGTGAAGAATGGTACTTATGTAGATTTACTGAAACCAAGAAATGAGAGTTCCCAATTAGAGTGGAGCAGCCACTGGAAAATGGGTTCAACAAATTTTTTTGATATCAAATAACCGATAATGAAAAGGAAAGGGTTACAAAATCGACCTTGGCCTTACGATCGCTGATGTCGAGCTTCAGGTCCTTCTCCACCTTGCCGACCACCGCAACGGATCCTTCTTCTTCATCGTCGTCGTCTCCTTCGTCCTAATACCCAAGCTGTATGTTGAAGTTCGATGAAATCCAGATCCCCTTCGTCCTTGTCCCCAAAGTTGATGTTGGAGTCCGATAGAAATGGAGATACAAACGTCAAGTACGTATGAAGAGAGAGAGACAGAGATCAAAAAGTACCTTCATAGAGGAGATATGTAGTAAACAGTAGTGAACCTGTTAATGAACAGTAGTGAATCTGGATTAGTGTGAAAACGAGGAGACAAAAATGAATAATGCACACCACATCGTCTCTTTTAATGTAGATAGAGAGACTATGTCCTTGTTTGAACCCCATTTTTGCCAGGAAAATATATTTTTGAATAGTATAATGATGTGAAATGTATGGTTAAAAAATAAGGGAAAGTTTTAAATTTTCGTGTAATATTATTTTATTGAAGAGTTTTAAATTTTCGTGTAATATTATTTTACTGAAGAATATATGGTTGAAATAATATCAAAACACTGTTTAAGAATATATTTTTTCAAAAAAATAGGGCTCAAACAAGTGCTATATATATATATTAGAGCATTTGATGTGACATTTTAAAGCTTTTTATACTATTTTTTTATCTAGTCAAATCAATTTTTAATGAAGGACATGTAAGGTATTTGAATGATCTAGATGGGCAAGAATGTCCAAAATTTTTCAAAATTGACAATTTTGCAAAGACATAAAAAATGTGACATTTTTGTAAATGAAAAGCCAAAAATTGACTATTTTAGTAATTTTCACTAAAATAATAAAGAAATAACAAATCACTCTTCAGAAATCGAAGACAAAAAATATATGTCGGACTTAGCATTTACGTGTGCTAATAATATTTACACTTAACTTAGCTGAAAATGAAGGTGATGTCATCGCATACTTTGATTCAGTTTCAGCCAACATTGTCCGAATTGGATGAATAATATCAACTTTTCCACGTAGAAGTATAGCCTCTGACTTTGTAGCAATTCATGCAGAATGGCTTTATTCCCCAGCTATGGCTTCAAATATAAAATCTGTCATTATTGTTATCAAATTTTTGCGCAAGCAACCCCTATTTGGAAATTCTTAAATCATTAAAATTAGTCAACCAATCATCTAGCTGTAAAATGATTTTTTTTCTTTTATTTTTCTTTTTTGTTAATAAATTGACCAAGGAGAGAAAAGTCAACTTATCCAAATAAGAGAAAATAAAAATTCTTTCCAAAACAGCCAGCATTAATAGGGCATCTCAGGAGCAACTGCCGTCAGCTCGTTTGACAGCCTGAAACACTCAAAAGACAGTAATTTGATTGTTTTAATTTAATGGGAATGTTGAAGATTAATGAATGTTGTTGTTATCGATTTTTTTAGACAGCAATGACGTATTTGATATGTTGGTGGAACAACTCTAAGATAAGGAGATACACATTGATATGTTGTATTCGCAAGAATATAAATGAAACGGTTGAGAGAGGGAGAGGGATTGACGGACAAGGAGACAGAAAAATCGACAAGGTTCGATCGAAAGATGTCATTTTGCAAAACACGCCTCTACAACTCTCAAGTTCACACCAGCTTTTCCGTCTCTAACATGCCACTTTGTGCTAGTGTATTTCTTGAAGGTAGACAATGATAATCGACTATAAATTGGGCGATTAATAAATAAGAATATTTATAACCAATTAAAAGAATCAATAAGTGGAATACATTTTGTATACATAATACATTGGCTGAAAATTTAAATATTTATGGCATGAGTTGTCTCATAATTTAAAAGATATTTTGCAAGTGGACAACGTATAATTTAAATAGTCTGATTGATAATCATATTAAGCAGAGACTCTATAAAGAGAGGATTGAAAAGAGATGCTTTAGATCTTCATTCAGTTCGACCAAAACTTGTAACACTATGGGTAAAATTCAAGCCAATGAGGAAGTCGAAACTTCAAATGTACCCAAAACAGTGACCTCATATCCTCCGAAAAATCTCAAGATGCAACAACATCCATCTGTCGAACACGCTGAGATCGTGGAATCAGTGATCTCGTTTCCTCCAAACTCCATGATAGGAAGCAACTCAACAGTTGAACCAGTGACCTCGTATCTTCCCAACTCGCAGGTGGGGCGGCCTCCATATGTAGGAAAGCCTTGGAGCACTGGCTTGTTTGACTTTCATCTAAACCAAACAAATGGTATTTCTATCTATCCTTACACAACAATATGTTTCCACAAACTAAACCCTAATTTCGATATTTATAGTGGTTTATCCTTAATGTAAAATGTATTTTCACAATGAATAAGAAAAAAACTACATTGGTGATCTCACATATGTATCTATATCATTCTCGAAAATGATCTCTAAATTATTCTTTTATAAGTAAAAATATTAGGACAATTGGTCGAGACCATAACAGTTTTCCTTTTGCAGCTATTATGACAGCATTTTTGCCCTGGGTGACATTTGGCCAGATAGCAGAGGTCCTCGACCATGGAGAAACGAGTAAGCCCTCAATTTGATTGGAAATGTTCACATAACTTTCATTCTTAACTCTTACCTTGCTGGCCGTAAAATAAACAAAACAAAACAAACTCTTACCTTAATGTCTATCTATTTTCATCTTTAGCTAAATCGAAACAAGATATAATCGACGGAGTCTATCTTAACAATGATTGTGACAATGTTGGCCTTGATTATATGGAAATTGAGTTAGATGAAACAATTTGATTGAAAAAAAAAAATGTAAAACAAGTGATAATATGCTTCTATCACTCGGATGATATCGATCACTTATAAGTTCAGTGAACGTCAATTTCTAAACCCAATTTAATTAAATTATTCTAATATTTGCTTGTCGATACATGCAGCTTGTCCGCTGGGGACTTTCATGTACCTTGCAATGCTGCCTGGTTTTTGCTCATTTTGGATCATAGGATCAAAATATAGGAAAAAGCTAAGGACAAGATTTGGTCTAGTAGAAGCTCCATATCAAGATTTTGTATCCCACATGATTTTTCCATTTTGTTCCCTTTGTCAAGAATTCAGAGAGCTGCAGTACATGGGGTTTGATCCTGCTCTAGGTATACATAATGATTTTTTTGATTTATTTGTCTACCATATGTTAATATTGTCTAGATAAATAGTTCTTCATTACATTAACATTTATTGTGGATTAATCTGTTTATTAAGTTCAGGCAGCGACACTAATAATTCTCATCTGACAGAGCGAATTATGTAAAAGAACCCCTTTCTAGGGTTCAAATGACAAAATGCCATGTTAGAACATTTTTGTCTAAAATTTCTTTCTTAACTAGAAAAGTGAAAAATGTCAAGTATAATGAAAAAGGTTTACTTGGCATGAAACTTGACCAGGTTGAGTTGATGTGAACCTTGTGCGTGTATATGTTTTCTTCATATTCATACCTAATTAAGCTCATAAATTAGATGTTAGAAATGCATTTTATATCTCTTCTCCTTCCAAAATTGTCTCAATTGTCACAAAATGTTCGTCTCTAAACATTTTTGGCTAGCCTTTATTACGGGGGGAAAAAGAAGTAATCTTTTGTTATTTTGATCGTTCGTAAAAGATGTTTCTCCAATGGGAGATTTTTTTTAATTTTTAATTTTTTTTTTGTTTTTAGTGAATTCTTGTGTTTCTTTAACAAGCAAATCCAATAAGATTTCATTGAAGTCTAATAATATTTTGGAATATAAACTTGACAATATTTTATGAGAATAATCTTTTTGACAAGTGCAATTAAATTACATGCAGGATGGAATGGGATTCTTGCTCATCAACAACAAGCGATACAGAATCAAAATGAACAGAGAAACGGACCTCCTCCTGTTCAAGAAATGTCTAGATAAAGATTCTGATTCACGAATTTAAGGTTGTCATTCAGTTTGACGCGAAATTAATGTTTGTAAGATTCGTTGGAAAAGAGAAATAAATATGAAAAATGTTTTGTCTCTAGTAACCCTAATTATGTAAATCAATTATTAATGTTCGATTGAAAATCATGTTTATTTGAAGCTGTTGACACATAAAAATTCAGCCCAGATTGAACAGTTCAGAGAGTAAAGCCCAATTGGAGGATCCCCAAATCAGATAGTCCAAAGAACGAAATCCAATTGAACGAATCAAGGTGAATGCCCAAATAAGGGGCCCAATAGTGCGGTAACGCTATCGCCCAAGTTTGCAAATCGCTCAGAATCTGAACGAATAGAGTGGCATACGGTCGCCCAAAGTCTCGCCCAAATCTTCAAGTCGCCCAAGGTATTAACAAACATAACGCATTATGATCATCAAGAAATGCAGTTATTGAAGCAGTTGCTAAAGTAACCTTATCACGTTTCACGACTCAAGGGGTTCAATCGAAAGCGGTTGAACGATGCAAGATAATGGCAGCAGCTAAAAGGACAGTTTCATGACAAAATGGCCACTACAAAGAAAGTGGGTAGTTATAGGGCGATCAATCAGTTTTTTAGAGCAGTTAATCATAAAGGGATCGCCTATGAAGTATAAAAGGGAGAAAGAACTTAGAAGTAAAGGACCGAATCCAAAACTCTCGAACAGAGAATATGTAATTTTCATTCCTTTAACTTTTAGACTTAAACACTTCATTTTCTATAACTCGTGTGCTTGCGCCCCTTGGAGGCACGTTGTTTTCCGTTTCCAATTGTAAAGTTCATCGCCAATAAAAAGAACACCCCTTTTTGGGACTTTGTCTCAAGAGGTTTTGTCCCTTACACAATCGTCTGATCCTCTTTAATTGTTAGCGAATTAACACGCGCGAAACAATTTGGCACGCCCAGTGGGACAGTGGTGTTAGGTGTTGAAAGTGCAAAAGGTGAAACAATATGTCTCAGAGATCCGACAAGGAAGGAGCAAGTCAGGGAGGAATCCAATCTATAATCGAGCGATATGAGGAGCAACATGCCTCTCCACGAATAGATGGACAAAATCAGAGCAGTAACAGTCATTACGAACTAATGACGGAGCTGAGTCCTCGAACCATGCGTGCATTGCTTGGAGAACTCACGCAAGACATCGTTGAACAGGTAAATCTTCGAAATATTCATAATATGAAAATATTTACACAAAGTGGTAATGCACACTATGACAATATGGCCAAACAACTAGAGACGTTGAATGAAACAATGAACAAGTTAGTGG